CTTTACGGCCTTGTGGAACCGGTGTCAGTATGCTTTACGGCCTTGTGGAACCGATGTCAGTATGCATGCACCCGACAGGGCAGTCTGCTACTGTTGAGCAAAAGTGTGTGACAAAGAAGTCGAAATCATGCCCATAGCAGACATCAAAGCCTGCGTCATAGACCTGGACATTGAGGTGTTCAAAAGCGCCTGCATGCCTGCAGTAGCTGGAAAATCAGGGGACAAAACCCCTTCCCCCCACATGGTCATTGTGGGGGACCTGAAGGGTCGCATGAGACCCAGAGGTCATGGGCAAATCTCTGTCAGACTGCATGATAAGTATATATAATATAATAGAATAGCTTAAGTAGGAAACCAAATTAGGGTTGATTAACTCAAAGGGAAAAAAGCTGAAATAAACTCACAGTTAAGTGAAACAACGCGGAGAGAGGATAAAAGCCGTCCTTTCACCAAAACTGCTAAACCCCAACAAGGTTTAGACAGAAGGAGCAAATATATAGATGGCAGAGGTGTATAGCTGATAATCTACAGAAACAAACACAACACAATAGTGTGATATTGTAAATGAACGTTAAAACTGTGCAAATATAAGTGGAACTCACAAGATGTGGATAGTAAAATCTAAGGGGAGGCACCCTAAGGTGATTTTACTATCTACATTTTGTGAGTTCCACTTATATTTTCGCAGTTTTAATGTTTATTTAAAGTAACACACTATTTTGTTGTGTTTGTTTCTGTAAATTATCAGCTATATTCCTCTGCCATCGATATATATTTTCCATTTTGTCTGGAATATCCTGAGAGGAAGCTGCTTTCATTACTACGATAAGTGATTGTTTTTGTACAATTGTCTTATAGAGGTGTGGGTTTTACACACTCTGTTGATTTTCTGTCACATATTAGACAGGAGGAGGCAAGACTTTCGGCTAAAAGGGCGCGCAATTTCACGAATGGTGAAATTTCGCAAAATGAACGCGAACAAACGGTCGTTCATGTGAAAATCCAATTCAAACTGAAGCTGAATAAACGAACAGTAAAAAGTATCTTGACAGAAAACCCACTGATAGAAGTAAACTACCGAATGGGGCTAGTTAGAAAAAGTCACGAATGGAAAGATAACTGTTAGGAAAGTGACAGGGTAAATAAATATCAAATAAATTATAAGTAATAAATAAAATGAGTCCCCCTCAGCCCCCAAAAGGTTTACCTAAAGGGACAAAAGTAAATGCAAGAAGAACAATTATTGAATTAATAATACTTGAATAAATATAAATATGAAATAAATTAATAAATAACAGTGAAATACCTGTAAATAAATTAAAATGGTAAATTAAAATGATAAATAAACTACAGCGATAATATAAACAATATTGAGTCAATATCCCACAGTTAAGAGAACTATGGGGGCAGTGTACTTAACTGAGGGAGCAGCAAAGAAACATAGAAACATAGAATGTGACAGCAGATAAGAACCATTCGGCCTAACTAGTCTGCCCAATTTTCTAATCTTGCAATTATCCACATTAAATGTCAGTTGCCACAACTCTGACCATTTTTCTAGTTGACCTAAATCATTTGCCATTTGGCTTATCCCTCCTGGAACATCAACCCTGTTACATATCTTAATATCATCAGCAAAAAGACATACCTTACCATCAAGACCTTCTGCAATATCACTAATACAAATATTAAAGAGAATGGGTCCAAGTACAGATCCCTGAGGTACCCCACTGATGATAAGCCCATGCTTTGAATACACTCCATTGACAACAACCCTCTGTTGCCTGTCACTCAGCCATTGCCTTACCCATTCTTCAATATTGGAATCCATACTTAAAGATTGCAGTTTATTGATAAACCTTCTATGTGCAACAGTGTCAAAAGCCTTACTGAAATCTAGGTAAGCAATGTCTACTGCACCACCCTGATCTATTTTTTTAGTTACACAATCAAAAACATCAATAAGATTAGTTTGGCATGATCTCCCTGAAGTAAACCCATGTTTTTTTCTGATCTTGAAATTCATGTGATTTTAGATGTTCAACAATCCTATCCTTTAACATGGTTTCCATTACCTTCCCCACTACTGAAGTAAGGCTTACTGGCCTATAGTTGCCCGACTCCTCCCTACTACCATTCTTGTGAATGGGCACAACATTAGCTAACTTCCAATCTTCTGGGACTACTCCTGGTAACAATGATTGGTTAAATAAATCTGTTAATGGTTTTGATGGTACACCACTAAGGTTTTTTAATAACTTTGGATGTATTGTCCTGGGGGCTTATAAATCACACCTACATGAGTTACGGTGTGATTACCAAATTCTAACGTAACGCAAACTGACTCTATGTTCCCAAACACTCACTAACTTTTAATAGGCTAGATTTTATGCTATCCTTCACATACAGGGTCACCCCTCCCCCTTTCTTGCCTTCCCTGTCTTTTCTATATAAAGAGTACCCTGGTATTGTTCCAGTAATTTTTCTCATTATACCATGTCTCAGTAACAGCGACAAAATCTACAATATCAGTTGCCATTATTGCCACAAGTTCATGGATTTTATTTCCTAAATTGCTAGAATTTGTAGACATGACTCTAAGCTTATCATTTCTGAACACACTTGCTACAGGCACCTTCTGTCCTTATTTTGGGGGGCAATTGGATTGATGTTTTATCACCCTTTTACCCCCCCCCTCCCACTTCCTAGTTTAAATACATCCTAGCAAAGCATCTGAACTGCTCACTGAGAACATCTTTTTTGTACAGTTTATTTCCATTCCAAACAGAGCTACCATGAGAAATAAAGCCAAATCCTTGCTCCCGACACCATTCACCAAGCCACAAGTTAAAGTCCCTAATACGCATCCGCCTATCGTTCTGAGTGTAATGCACTGGCAGAACTTCAGAGAATGACTTCAGAGTCAGAGAATGACTGAGAATGTGGAAGCAACCTGCCCTATGTCATTGGCAAAAATACTAAAAACTTCCCTTACCTCTGAAACCTCATTGCAATCCAAGTAATTTGTCCTTAGATGGACAGGTATATCCAATTCCCCTTCCTGCTTTGCTCGCTTAACAATATTGAAAACACCATTGTCCAGCTCCACACCTCTTAGGATAGAATCCCTAAACAACAACTGCTTTGTATTAGGCCTCACCATAGTCTCCAAGCCTGTCTCCACAACACCACTACACTTGGTGCCTGAGCCTGTCTTCACAACACCACTACCCTCAGTGCCTGAGCCTGTCTTCACAACACCACTACCCTCAGTGCCTGAGCCTGTCTCCACAACACCACTACACTCAGTGCCTGAGCCTCAACTAACAGGATTAACTCATTTAAAAACAAAACACCTAATTTAGCCCAATACTACATTTACCCCAACTCTAATTATAAACTCAATTATCCTACACCCT